CTGTGCACCTATTACGCTGCACACAGGCAGGTCCCAGATACACACACTGAACTGTGCAGAGAGCAAGGGCGAGGGGCGCTCCCTGTCCCAGGGGAGATGGTGGGGAGGACAGACAGAACCATGTCACCACCCAGACACAGAACCTTCCCAGCAAGGACCCTGGCTGGGGGCAGGAGCTGAATGTCAGGCGTGCCATGCGGCCATGTCCCTGGGCCTCACCTGCCCCCAGGCCTTTCCACCCCCAGCCTCCCCGCCCCAGACCTCACCTGCAGGTCCCAGGCCTCCCCACCCCTGGGCCCCCCTGCCTCCGGGCCTCACCTGCAGGTCCCAGGCCTCACCCGCCCCTGGGCCCCCCTGCCCCCGGGCCTCACCTGCAGGTCCCGGTTGTGGTTCTCGCACAGCAGCTGCAGGAAGCGCAGGATGGGCTGCATGATGGTGATGACCGCGCTCATCTCCAGCTCGTCCTTGGGCTTGTCGGCCGCGGCCTGCGCGCCCTCCCCGGACTGGTAGTGGTCGTCGGGGTCGGCCTCTCTCCGGAAGGCGGTGAAGGCCTTCCTGGTGGCGGCCGAGGCCTCCAGGAGCTGGTCGCGGGCCTCCTCCGTGATCTGCGTCGAGGGCTCTTTGGCTGCGAGGCAAACGGGAGCCCGTCAGCGCTGCGCATGCCCAGAGGCCGGATGTCTGTGGCTGCGAACCCAGTCATGACCCGAAATGCAAAGCCCGAGGGGCTCGCTAACCTGCTCACGGCCATCGACTCAACACCGGGGTTCCCCCTCCCTCAGGTGTTACTTTCCTTTAACTGAGGGGATGGACAAAACGCTTCAGAAACATGCAAGTAACTCAGAAAACAAGGGGGAGCCGCCTGCAAGAGACGGTGCGCCCAGTTCTAAAGGTGCATCTTCCTCAACTGTCCTCCACTTTCCCGAACGTGAAATGGAAAGTTACAGAAAGAGATGATGAATGGATTTCCCGCCAATAACACCTGGCGTCTGACCCAGAGGCACGGCTGTGGGTTTATGACACACGAAGAGCCTCCCAAGCGGCAGGAATCCCGCTCGGGCCGCGCGGGAAGGACTACGTCATCGCCGGATTCGCCTTCTGCTTCTGAAAGCCCAGTCCGCCTACGGCCTGGAGTCTCGAAGCCGCGAAAGAACTACAGGGACGGAGGGCCGTCCTGGAGCCGCCCAGACCGGCTGACGGAGAGCTGCGGGGAGGCCAGGGGGCGGGGGGGGCGTTTACCTTTCTTCCGGGAAGGGGCGTCCCTGTCCGTCTCCTCGTCTTTCTTTTTGTTTCCCAAGTCGCTCGTGTTCACCGTCACCGTGGCCTTGATTTCCTGCTGGGCCACCTTCATGCGGTCGTAGAAGACCTTGAAGAATCTCTCCGACTTCTTGTCTTCCGTCAGCCGGCAGAAGAAGGAGTGCTGCCGAGGGAAACCCGCACACTCTCAACACCGAGACGGCCCAGTCAGCGAATCCCACTCGAGACACCAAAACCTCACGCAGATTGGCGCCAGCCACGCGACCTCACACGTGGTCTGAGCAGGACCGAGGCTAAACACTGCTCGGGGCTCTCTGGTTGTCCAGATCCTCGGCCTGAGGTTTCCTGCAGAGCCGGGGTGTCTTTGCTGGTGGTCACATGGGAGAGGGAAGCACGCTAAGTAAGGCGTGGTGGGCAGATCTCAGCCAACCGTGAACAGCCCCCTCATACACACGGAACCACGCCACTAACAGGGGAAATAAAAGGTATTTGTGTGAGTGTTAATCCTCACCCAAGGATATTTCTCCATTGATTTTGAGAGTGTGTGGGGGGGTGGGGGGAAGAAAGAGAGAGAGAAACATCGATTGGTTGCCTCCTGCATGTGCCCTGACCCTGGGCTGGGTGGGGATCCAGCCTGCACCCAAGGTATGTGCCCTTGATTGGAATTGAACTTGCAACCCTTTGGTCCTTGTGCCGATGCTCCAACCACTGAGCCAAACCGGCCAGGGCTAACATCTATCAATTGGTGATTACTGCAGGGCCAGTCATTGGTTTAAGGACTTCCATGTGCCCCTCCTCTTTGCACAGCCCTGTGGGCACTTGCAGATGAGTAAGACGTGCCACCTGATAGAGCGTCGGCCTGCGGACTGAAAGGTCCCAGGTTCGATTCCGGTCAAGGGCATGTACCTTGGTTGTGGGCACATCCCCAGTAGGAGGTGTGCAGGAGGCAGCTGGTCGATGTTTCTCTCTCATCGATGTTTCTAACTCTCTATCCCTCTCCCTTCCTCTCTGTAAAAAAAATCAATAAAATATATATTAAAAAAAAAAAAAAAAGACGTGCCACCTGTCCCTGTAGGCTGCCTCCATACCAGGTCAGGGTGACATGTCCCCAAGTAAGACGGACAAGGGTGAGTCAACAGTGTCCAGCAGCTCCACAGAGATGTATTCTAGAACCCAGAGCTGGCGAGGGTGACGCTGCGGGGAGTGGCCCCAGAACCCTCAGGGAAGAGGGGCTCCCAGGGCAGGCCTGGGAGGACAGGTGAGGGTGTGGAGACAGAGACGCTCAACATCAGGGGTCGCTTCCTCCCGGATACGCATGTTTGTGTTTGGACCCGCCGCAAGCCACGGCGCAACTGTTCCTACAAAAGCACAGCACGGTGGGTGCCTCAGCTCCACTTACGTGTTCGCTTGCGCCTTACCCCTTCGCAAACACCGCACTGTTGTGAGCTATTTACATAGAAACACAATACGGCCACTTCCCGGAGAACAAAGCAGAGCTCCCAGCCGCACGCTTGCTCTCCCCGTGGGGGCTCCGCCAGCTCCACACCCTCCCTCGGGAGGAAGGCGCTTCCCACCGAAGGGGCCCTGGCTCGCAATCCCAGGAAAAACGGCATCTCCAGCCTCTCGAAGCCCCTCAACGCCTCTGCCTCTCCCCCAGCCCCATGTGCCTGACAGCGGCCGACATACCCCGTCCTCCTCTGCCCCTTCGCCTCGCCAATGGCCCACGTGTTCCTTGGCACATGTCCGTCTCATCTGCCCACAGGCACGTCCTGACCTCTGCCCCCTTCGCTGCTCTCCATCTTCTTGTTCCCCACACACAACCCAGGATCCGTCCCTCCTTGGGCTCCCTGATCCTGCCTCTCCCCCCACAACCCCTCCAGGTGCCGCTGCACAGCCACAGAGAAAGAACTCGACAGGTATAACCACCTGTCAAATCGGACCACACTGTGCCCACACACTCGAGGCACATTGCTGTCCGGGATGACTTCACGACCAAAGAGGCAAACCTGCTCTGCTCCCAGGAGCGCGGAGCCACCAACCCAGGATCCGTCCCTCCTTGGGCTCCCTGATCCTGCCTCTCCCCCCACAACCCCTCCAGGTGCCGCTGCACAGCCACAGAGAAAGAACTCGACAGGTATAACCACCTGTCAAATCGGACCACACTGTGCCCACACACTCGAGGCACATTGCTGTCCGGGATGACGTCACAACCAAAGGGGCAGAGGCAAACCTGCTCTGCTCCCAGGAGGGCGGAGCCACCACCTGCACCAGGACAGGGGACACAGGCCTTCTCAGCGAGGCCCCGCCCACCCCATGAGCCCCGAGGGAGTGGCGTGGGGGTGCGGGGAGCACATCCCCGAGACGGCCCCTGCGGGCATCGCAGGCCATGAAGAGCGAGAGGAACACACACAGGAGGGAAAGGCCTGGGGTTCTTTTCCTGGGGATGGAATGCAGACGTGCAAATAAAAGCCTCCGTGGAAAAACAACACAAACAAACTGCAACACATCCACTCGACCGTAAAATCCAAAGGAAAATAAGGACGCCCTGGCCGGCCGGGGGCAAGGACACGCTGACGGACAACCAGCCGGCAGCCCAGCCGCCTGTGGGGCCCCAGCCGCCTGGACCCTGAGGGCCCCGCTCTGGGCCGTAGCTCTCCCATTCCTGCAGCCCCTCCCCCTCTGGCTGGCAGGGAGCCCTCGGCTGCAGAGAGCATCGGGGCCTGACAGTGGGGGGGGCGGGGCGTGCAGACAGGCGCCCGTGGATGGGCGGTGGGTGTGGATGGGATTTCGCAGTGTCCCCTGTGGACGGGCTGCTCGGTGAACTGCGATGGCTTTGGCGTCAGTCATGGCACTCAAGCCGGTGATGCCCGAGCCAACCTGGTGCCTCTGGAAGCACTGACTCGGGGCTGGCAGGGGCCGTGGTCACCGACTCCAGCCTCCCACCTGATGACACACCTGCCTGGGCCCAGCCATCACTCCATTGCGCCCCCTTCCTCCCCGCCCCCCACCAGCTGCCACACTAGGACCACGCTGGCCGCCTCCAGCTCCCAGCACACAGGCCCATGCCAACCCCTCCGCCCTCCACCCTCCACCCTCCACGCAGCCGTCTCCTCCCACAGTGAGGGCTCAGCTTGAATGGCACCTCCCCGGGAAGCCCTCCTGACCTCCCTACGCGGGGTCTCCATCACCCTCCTCCCAATTTGCTGTTTATTTCATGGGTAACGGGTTTAGCATCCATCTTGCCGGCCAGACCGTAAGCTCCTGGAGGGCAGGGCCCACATGGGTCCCACCCCCGACGGCATCGCAGCCAATTCACTGGTGCCTGGCCCCCGGCAGGGGCTCAGTGAAGACCTGCTGTCTGAATGGACGCCAAGAGCCCTGAAGGAATTCCCCAAACCTCAGCTGCCTCCCCCAGCAGCTGGGGTGTAACTCTAGCCCAGGGTCCCGCCTGACACTCCGCCCCGGAGCTCAGAGGACCACGGGAGCATGGGCACAGGCTCCCTCCGAGGTGG